CACAGGCGCGCACACACACAGGCGCGCATACACACACACACACACACACACACACACACACACACACACACATACACACATATGCGTACACACGCGTGTGCAAAAACACACACACACGCACACACATTCACGGAGGATAGTTGGGATAGTTCCCTCAGTGCAAAAAGCATATCCTGAAAGCCAACTGCCATAGAGCACAAGTGTCATTGCCTTGAACTGGCAGCATGGATAAGCAGATAGGTATACACTTTAACAAAAATCTGCACAAGCACAATTCTAACCAGGGTGTAGTATTTTTACTACTCCCTGACACAACTAACACAACTATGCTAACTAATGCCCCAGTAATGCTTGACCATTTTGTTTGTATTGTATTTTATTATTTTACTTGGGCATTCCCAACAGACCCTAAGGTCTTCTTACAGGGTGCCCAAGATGAATGAAATTGTTAAGTTCCTGGCGAAATGAATTGGGGATATGATTTGTGCGAAGGGATTCGGGACCATGATCAACCAAATCTACACACAAACACACACTCACAAACACACTTACAATATATTGCTCTCCACGTTGGAGAGACACAGCTTCTCAAAGCGAGCCAAGCACTCAAAAGGCGTGCGACCGGCCTGCAGCACAGCAGCAAAGCACAACATTGTGACATGCAATGTTGTACACAGAGCATGTTCTACTGGTGAAAGGATCTGCACTCCCAATGCCCCAGGGGGAATTGCATCATGCTCCAAGTTACACAATGCGTACAAGTAACTGCTTCTGGCATGGCACAGCACAGCACTAACAGTCAGTGCCTACAGCACGGTATGTACAGTACAAAATACACAGCAAAACCAACACAGCAGCATAAGCACAAGAACCATACCCCATACGGTAGGCTACACAAATCTCGGCTTATAATTACGTGCTTGAACCCTCTTGTTTTAGACTAATTCGAGGCCGCTGAACACGAAAATCGGGTGTTCCTACCGGGGCCGAGCATACATCTGTTTGAAAATTAGCACTTCACAATGCCTCTGTGCCACGCACAGCTCCATCTTTATTCCAAGTACAGCATGCACGGCATTAATGGAAAGGTAATGACCTCAGCTACCGAAAAATAGCATAGACTGGGGAGAAACTGCCACGAGAGAAGATGGAAGTGAGCTCGAAGTCAGCCCAAACAGCTGACATGCAGGGCACATTGCACTTATACACGTGAGAGTTGTGACTGCAGTTTTCACCTGGCACGTGATGTTACTGAACTGCCTACAAATGAGGCATCCATACAGCAGTGCACACATCAAGTCAATCCGACTCTCTATCTCGATGTGTACGCTGAAGTCGCTTCACAGGCACAGAATCGACAGAGGGTGGGGAATGAAGCGGGTCTGAACCAAATGATACTTCACAGCACAGCTATTAGCTATCACTCACATCTAGTTCCTTGGCAATCTGTTGCCAGTTCGGTCGACCACGCTTGGCCTCGGGCAACAGCGACAAGAGCCGGTCATCTTCCACGGTCGTCCACTCCCTGGACGCGTCCGCCATGGAGCAACCAGCAGCGTTATGCCGTCGCCAGAACATCTCGCACTCTTTGGCCGAACGATTGGACACCTGAATCGAGGACAGAAATGCGCAAAAGCAACCAAAAAGGAGCATTGGGGAAAGTCAGTGTTCCACGAAAAAATGATGAAAGATAATACAGTGGATTGTCACAATACCATACTAGGGACCTTTCGCATTTGCTACGGATCGAATGCGAAACGAAAGTTTGATTCGGCTCGTAATCGTTTCGTTGAAAACAGATTCAGGTTTCGCAAGTCGTCATGCAAATGTGCATGGCAACTACGAATACGGCTGGTGGCTTGGCGTACGGGGGTTTTCACGCACACGTGCATGGATCATGGAATCAAGGGAAAAAATGTGTACTTAGCAAAACATGTGTACCTGGCAAAAATGTGTACCTGACGGATTCGGAGCGTGCCACGAATGAAGAGGCTTCCATTCGTGAAAACGAGCTCTCTGCAGGGACTCTGACGAATCCTCGAACCCAGGTGACGAATCAGCATTCGTTTCGTATCCGTACGCGTGGTGCGAAAGGTCCCTACTACTAAATGTGGACGACTGATTCAATCACCTGTGGTAGTGATAGTCTATTTTGGGGTACGATGTATGACACAAGCAGCTGTATACTTGGCAGTAAACACGAGCTGCGACACCAAACCTTCACACAAACAGCAACGACACACGCTTTGCATACGTACAAAGTTGCTGCTGATTTTGTCCCAGTCCATGTCATCTGGATCTACTGCAGGCGGGTTAGACCTGTGCAAACACAACAATGACGACAACAACAACGACCACAACAACAACAACAACAACAACAACAACAACAACAACAACAACAACAACAACAACAACAACAACAACAACAACAACAACAACAACAACAACAACAACAACAACAACAACAACAACAACAACAACAACAAAAACAACAACTCGTGAGAATAAAGATTTGAAGATTTGAAACAACAATAGCAACAGCAAATTATTCTCGGCAACACTGTCGTCAGTATGAGAATATAACTTTCAAATTCGAACAGTGGCATTGAGAGCAATTCAGCCATGATCATAATGATTCACAAGAACACCATAGCCCTTATGCACATTGACGTCAGCATACCGACGGCATCGTTAATATAGGAGAGCCCGGAACTAGGCCTTTCCGTATTATGCGTGGTTTTTTTCCTGGTCTAAAATGGAAATGGAAAGTGTTTTGGAAAACCCCTATATATCAATTTTAAATTTTTACCCAAAAGCACAAAGAATGCAACCGTTGCCATGGTAACAAAATGGCGACAGCTAGTGATATTTGGCATTCGGTACCATGGTGATCATTCATGGTGGATCATGGTGATCGTGAATTATTTATCGCGTTTACGACTCCCTGATTTTGTCAAAGTTTGGTTTCACTTCTTTTTCGTCTGCTTAGAGTCGGCACTCAGCAGTCAGATCAGAATGGCCTCTGACGATATTTGTGAGATCGAAGCCAGCAGTGAAAGTGACAGTGATGAAGCCTCTGCACAAGCGAAAGTGGTATCTCTGCTGGGCAGACTTTGTCCGCCCACAGCGACAATGCTGTCTAGGAAGCGGAAGGTTTCCAAGAACAAGGGATCAACCGTGCGAGGAGTGTATGTCATGACCCGGATCGGACTCGTCGTGAAAGTGATCACGCATTGAGTTCAGCAGCCAAAGCTAGACTCCGAAATATTCCTGAGTTCTGTAAGAACCATGATCAGTCCTGCGAAGGATTTTGGTGGCGCTTTCGTTAGTTGAGCAATCATGGCTTACAACTCGTGGCCTAGAGCCACCAAGTGTTGTCGTACGTCGGCAACACCTTCAGTACAAGTCGTCAGCATTGTACTCACTACTCTGAGCTTGAGGAAGCCACGCTCAGTCCTGCAAGGGAGCTGACACCCCTGTTAGTCGAGCAAGTGTGGCGCCTTTTCTCGTGTCGTACGACGCAAAGGGTCGACAGTATTCGTACTCCAGACTCCGGCCCGCTGGCGGGAACACGTCATTGCCGTCTTGCACCCTACCGGACCGAGATTGAGAGGGAAGAGCCTGCGGGCACGAAGGAGACTAGTCGGCAACTGCGTCAGCCCAATTTACCGTACGACGGGCGGCTGTTCGTACTACAAGCTCCTGGATTGCACCTGGGTGAGCGAGTTCCCCTTGTACTATCAAACTTATTGTACACATTATCACCTGGGTGAGCGAGCTCCCCTTGTATTGCCATCTTTAATAGATACTAATACAATACGATATTATAGTAATCAATCTTGCTCATCAAAATCACATAAATAGCCTTCTTATTGCAAGAAATAAATTATCTTCCGATCGCTTCGCTTCAACCCTCTTCTACACTCTGGTGTGAGAATTGAAACAGTGAGCTACTTATCTGCTTGATGTCGACTATATTGGTCGACGGCTTGGTGCCACTAGATAGATCACTGGCCGTGACATTTGGTGCTGTGACCAGGATCAAGCGATAATGCTAAAAACACTTTCTACTGTGTGTTCTCCTCTGAACAGAAATGGCAACTAACGGACACTCCGCAACCCGCGAGCTGCCTCGCCATGCGAGTCACCAGCAGGATCTGTTGGTGGCGTTGCAGCCGGGTGCAGCCGCACTCGAAGCTCTTAACCGGTTTCCTCAAGCTCAGAAGCTCCGAGCGCTGGCTGGAGGGTTGACCTCCATCCTAAATGCACTGAAGAAATGCGCGTCAGCCATAGACGAGGGCCCGCCGCCCAAATGCTCCCGGGCGCCATCCGCTGCCCATCATGTGCCGTCAAGTCGGCCGACTGCTGCCGCTCTCGCCGCTCTCGCCGCTCGAGACGCCGCCCAGGCTTCTCGAGAAAACCTCACGGCAGAGGCAGATGCCGCAATCGCGGAGGCAGCCAAACTGGCCGTCGCCGAAGCCGTACTAATGGCACAGGAATGATTTTCCCACTGTAATATTCTATTGATAGATGGCCTTCGGGTAAACTCAACTGACTTGTGTTCTGTGTGTGATGAGCACAAGGGTTCTTTTGCTCCCAAGCAAACGGAAGGCTCCCAAGTCCAAAGGACCCCATTTACGAGTGAGCCAATTCCCGGCCGAGTGTTTATCTGTGAGAAGGAGGCAGCTGTTTCGTAATGCTTGTCGGCATGACGTCTCAACAGTAAAAAGCATCTTGGGCCAGCACATCCGGTCCCAGAAGCACAAGGATGGCAAGAAAAAGCGTTCGGATGCAGCCCATGAAGAGCAGCAAGTTCTTATGGATTGTAATGAATACCTGGACAACACACCTGCAGAGGGTAGTACGTTACCTGAATCTGGATTAGTGTTTCGGGTGAAGTGCCTGAAGATGTTCCTGAGGGCTGGTGTCATTGTCCAGGATTGACATTTTCAGCCCATTACTGGAAGAGACCAGTGATAGACTGACAGGCAGCCAACACCTCTCAGATCTCATCCCCCTTGCGCATGGAAAGGAACGGCAAGCTGTGAAAGAGGCCATTAGCTCTCGTGACGTGTCAGTGATATTCAACGGTACCACTCGCGTATGCGAGGCAATGGCCATGTTAGTCCGATACGTTGCCGACGACTACGAAGCCCACCAGCGTTTTCTTGCCGTTAAACTGGCAGGAAAAGGCTTGGCTGGTGAATAGGTTGCCCATACCTTGCTGAAGGTGCTGTCTGTCGAATATCAGATCAGCCTGGAGAATGTCCTCACAGTGATGCGTGACAGGGGATCCGTCAACGACGTCGCAATCGGGAACCTCAGAGTGCTGTACGAAGGTGTGGAAGATGTGGGGTGTTTCTCCCACACACTTTGACGTCTGAAGAATACCGTCCATTACGCCAGCGTTTCATAATAATGTTATCTATATAGCCATATAGATTCTTGCTCTGGTGCTTCCATATGCTCAGCGGTGACTACAACCCTGGATCGATTGTGTTTACCTTCTTTCTTCCGTGGCTCTTCTCAAAGTTGTCCGAATAATGCTATCAATTCCGTGTGTTTCAAAATATTACTTGTAAAGCTGTTACCTGTGGTGTGTCATTGCAAAGTGTGGACTGTAGAGTGTAGAGTAGCTATAACAGTCAGTTTGGCGCTGATGTTCGCATAGTGTACACAAAACATGTGGGATGGTGTTGAGTCAAACACTAAACAGGTTGTTGCAAAAATAAACGGGTATTTAGGGTGCCTTGGCCCAAAGTGGGTCAAAATGGGCAAAATGCATTTTGACTCCAAAATGCAAAAATAATGCAAACGCATAATCCGGAAAGGCCTACCCGGGAAACGCTTGGGTGATCAAGCGTGAAGCGTCTGCTTGTATTTACGTTTGCTCTTTCCTCTTTCGAAAAGTAAGTTAGTGAGAAAAGAGAAAATAAAGACTGCTTTGAACTAGGTTTCGTACAACGCTCCTCAGGAACGCTCCTTTCCATCGTTCCTTTTATCGTTCTTCACATTTAATTCCATCTTTGCTCCTTCTTTTATATTCTTCAACGGTTTCAAATATATATTTGTTTGCAACGAATGCAATAAAGCCTTTGTTGTATGTCGATTCAGCTGGTTCTGTTCATTGCGATTCTCAAACTATTGTCACCTCGCCGCCTTTTTACATACCGGTACTCCACTTTCTCGTCTACACCCGCCCGGGTCGATCACCCAATTAGTAACCTTGTCCCGTGAGAAATAGTGATGTCATTCTGTGACAAAAATGTGCATAAAAACTATTTCCGTCATCAGCGGTGAGCGGCAAGTCCAGTACATATTGCCATGCACACCCGTACCCATTCCAACACATAATACCGGTATTATGACACTGTGACTTACTTCATCTCTTTCAAGTCTTGGTCAATCTTGTCGATTGCGGCGCTAAGCTCGTTCCTCCGATGTGAGGCAGTTTTCCTGTGGATCATCTCTTTGTTGTACTTATTCTTCCTGTCAATGATAACAACCAACAACAACAACGACGACGACAGCAGCAAAAAAACAACAGCAACAGCAGTAGCAACATTTCAAAAGAGATCAGAACAACCCAGCAATGTACATGTGAGAAAGAGCATACAGCTGGTGAGAAGGCATGTGGTCGCCATTGTTTAATCAGGCATGTTCGCTGCTTCCACACAGGGATTCATTGCAAAGGGGATTCGAACATGGAAATACAGTATGCAACAACCCAGCCCAGTGGTCACTACCCCATCAAACACACACACACACACACACACACACACACACACACACACACGTATAACCAGCGCGCTATCATGTGACAAGGAGACACCACGTACAAGCCAATAGAAGCAGCATGGGAAATGAATACAAGCCAATAGAAGCAGCATGGGAAATGAAAACCTGAGTTTGCTAGAATGTAGGTGCTTGCTTCTACTTTTTCCCATGCATATGTAGAGCCTTGGTAGAGTAGGAACGCACCACAAGTGTAATTTCGCCCAGAATAACCCCAGAATAACCCCAGAATAACCCCAGAATAACCCCAGAATAACCCCAGAATAACCCCAGAATAACCCCAGAATAACCCCAGAATAACTTTTTGAAGAAGGCAAAAGTTGCCCCCAGTCGATTATGACCGTAGAGGCAGGAATTGTTACAGGCCTCTTGTTTTCATGAGCTGGATATGGTCAGCAATGTGAAGAAGAGGTTGGTGCGACTTCGGCGATAGTTGGGGAAGTGTGTGTTGCTCCCTACATGGGAGCTCGCGGTTTTCCTGCCGACTTGAGTTCTCACTTGACCGACTCACGACTGGATATGGTCAGGTTGAAAAAACAAAAAAATGTACGGGTGAAATAAAACGCCAGCGAATGTTCAAAGGAGCACAAAGGCCAGTTGTAAAACATATCAACTCACAGTCTTTGAGCAGGCTTCATAACCTTCTCTCTAGTCAGAATATTCGTGCCTCTTTTCAAGGCGTCGATTTCAGCCTTGCTCCCTGAAAAGCAGAAGAAAACAATACAACAGAGTGTGTTGACAAGGCATACATGACGGCTACACACTTTTTTTAAACACACATCGTCTGGCCGCTACTAGTATAAGCAATCAGAACCTTGTCAGCCAGAACTGCCATACCTCTATGACAGACATGGTAGCCTGGGTGAGGCAAAGCCTACAGAAAACTAACCATACATATCCCATGACAAATAAAGTAGAAAGCAATTTGTTTGTCTTCTTTCCCAAAGGAACTCAACGACTGCCACCACCTGAAAGAAACCCCAAACCAAATCCACGCAAAGTGCAGAGAGGAAAATGAAATCCAAGTTGACTGTACTAGCATCTACTTCAAGCACTCCCCTGATATAGAAACGTGTGTAGAAAAATCCTGTATAGTGCAGCAGACTACTGCGGCTTCTAGTATAGTGAATTTGTCATAGTAAATACTTTTGAAGTACGTGTTTGCAAGTACACACACACACCTGCATGCATGCACATATGCGCCCCCCTCCCCCTCCTAAAACGCACGCACACATATACACGCAACCCCCCCCCCCCCCCCACACACACACGCAAACAGCACTGCCTACCATATACAATACTCTGTGGCTACAACGTACATGGCGCGGAAGATGAGACGTGCATCGGATTGACGTCACCGGATTCCCGCAGTTTCCGGACATCCGCATTAGGGGCAGGGACCTACAGAGAGAAACACACAGTGTATACACCATACAGTATAACATGTGATCTAGAAAAACAGATACAGAGGCAGACATAATGGCTACCTGTACTGTGCGGAGATAGTATGTGCACGTATGTGTACGGGGGGGGGGGGTGTTCGTGTGTGCGTGTGTGCGTGTGTGTGTGTGTGTGTGTGTGTGTGTGTGTGTGTGTGTGTGTGTGTGTGTGTGTGTGTGTGTGTGTGTGTGTGTGTGTGTGGTGTGTGTGTGTGTGTGTGTGCGTGTTGCATGACGAAACAGTTCTGTCTGCACACCGAGTAGACCTGTCACAATGCAGGCAAACATGCCAAGAATGAGTCGTGGGTACAGTGACTCACGTTTCCCGACTGGTCGCGCACGAAGGGGCAATGGAAACGTGTTAGCGTGATCTTGCGGGGCTTGGCCTGGCTGTAGAGGGAGTTGCGCGCCTTGGCCATGGCAGCCTCCAGCTCCTCCTGCACAATACCAAATAAAGAGAGATGAGAAATACGCATGGGCAAGATAACCGACAGCCCAAGCACCACGCTGGTATTACAAGTAGACCATGTCACAGTCGGCAATGTTCATGTACACAGGCGGGGAAAGTTATTGAATTGCACAGTCAGCAGAGATTAACACTAACCTGGTGCTGTGCATTATCCAACAGAGCCTCTTCAATACGTAGCAAAAGACCTGTGAAGCAATTCTGCATGTACAGGAAATGACGAAGGAAGAGAGGAGAGGAGAGGAGAGAGAGAGAGAGAAAGAGAGAGAGAGAGAGAGAGAGAGAGAGAGAGAGAGAGAGGAGAGAGAGAGAGAGAGAGAGAGAGAGAGAGAGAGAGAGAGAGAGAGAGAGAGAGAGAGAGAGAGAGGAGAAAGAGAGAGAAAGAGAGAGAAA